ACAAACGTTTGAAATTTCATCATCATCATCATAAGGTCGTCAGTCCTAAGACTGGTTGGACACGTACCTCCACTCTTTCCTATCCTAAGCTAATCTTCGCATTTTCCTAAAACTAGAACAACCCACATCCTTAACTATTTGTGAACAGTAATCTAACCTAGGTCTATCTCTACCTCTTCTAACTCCTGTTTCTGCCTCTAATATGACTTGACTTTTATGTCTGCCTATTTCTTATTGACTTCCATAGAGTCCTCTATTCTCCTATTCTTTCTAATACTTCTTCATTTCTAACCTTTTCTACCCACGGTATCCTCATCATTCGCCTATAACACCACATTTCGAAAGCTTCTAATCTTTTCTTTTCTGCCGCGCCCACTGTCCATGTTTCGCATCCGTACAGCGCCGTGCTCTAAAAATACACCTTTAACAAACTTTTTTGAATTTCTAAGTTACAAAGTGTGTAATTATTAATAATTATAGTCAAAGACACAAAATCTATTGTTCATGTTAGTTTAAGCGTGTTCCAAAGTCATCGAAAACTTGGAGACTAGTAAAAAACACAAATTGGCACAAGAGGTTGGCGCGTAATCCGCTCCAAGTTCGGAAGGGTCTCGAAGTTCGCGGCAAAGTGTGCGAATTCTGATGCATCAAACGCCAGCTTACTCGGCATCAAACTTACGCCACAAAGGGCTTTCATTTCTCGCAAGTCACGGCTATTACTTAACGCTAACTTAGTTAGAAAGCACAAGCCTGCTACGGACCAAATGTATGTGTATACATCGGAGATGACGGGAATACGTGCAAGAAATGGACCACGGTGAATTAGTCAGCGGAGAGATCATTTATCAAGCACCGTCCGTGAATACTGAGCAGTGGAACTCTCGTTTAAGTTTGGACCCAATAGCGACTACTAACGCGACGCCACAGACGGCGACGCGACTTACGCGACGCCCTTTGATATCTGCGAATTGTGCGATATCGCTTCGCTTAAGTATCCGTCGATCTAAGCCATAAATATAACAAATAGCTCTCTGACTTACCCTCACGTCCAAGGATTTCAACGCATTCAATTAAAATTAAAAACTGTCAATTATTTTAACTTTCGTTATTGCCTAGCTTTAAAATAATAACTAATACTTTCACCACCTACGTCGCTGTAAAAGTTTTTATTTCAAAAGCATTCGAAATTCAGACTTCGTCCATGAAGGCTCTAGGTATTGGGCAGCTCAGTCTAAAGCATTTTACAAAAACCATCGATTTCTAATTCATCACAAAACGTTTATATATAGCAATTGCTTTCCTTCGAAATCATTAAACTAATATTCAATTTTGTATTTTTTGTTCGTTAATGATAAAGCTCTTTTTTCCAAAAATTTTTCCCGCGGGAGCCTTATGCGGCATTCCAGATGATGCGGAAATGCGGCAAGGCGTTATATGCCCCTTCCTTGCCCAAGGGGGCAAGCTCATAAGGCGCACAAAAGGTAGTGAGCTACCCACTTAGGGACGTACTTGCACCCCCCTCAAAATTCTAGTCAGCACTAATACTGTGTAATACTAATTTCGTACTTAAATTAATTCTAAATAATTTTTTTTAATTACAACATATTTATATCTGGTAAGCAGTATTCAAATTTAAATCAAAACAACAGTAAAGTGTCTACATTTGCATTTAAATTTCAGTTAAATTAAGCCTGCAAAACACTGGGATTATTATACTCTGTTTAATATTTTAATTTATTTCTCCAAACGTTACTTACTGTTGTGTGTACGTAGTATTATTTGTTTTATACATACATGTATGTATATATTTACGAACATAAAACACAACGTTTTAACATGAAAAGCATGTTCAAAACATGTCATAAATAGTAGCTTCGCGGTCTGTTAAGCAAACCGCGTTTTATATCTCAAAGAATGATCTCCCATTTGTACCAACACGTACAGGAACACCCATGGGTATACACCATACCGATGCCTCTAATTAGAAACAGAGTTTCATCTTTTTAATTAAGAATTGAATACAATATATGTAAGTATCTATAATAATTTTTCTATTTAATTATTTTCTAAATTTGTTATTACAGAAAGTTTATGTCTTTGCCGGACGTTGATACGTTCGTGAAGCCGTCGGGTATACTCGGTAGCTTCTTTTTATTTTTTTTTTTTTTTCAATATTAACCGCATTATTTTCCGGAGCTATAATATATTGGTAGCAACTGAAATAAACAAGGAATTGCATGGCTATACGGTGTGGGTCGCAAAAAAGTCGAATGAAAACCTTTATAAGGAAAAGGCGGCCATTTTCATCCAACTTGTTTCTCTTAATTCATTCATCACTGCTACCATATTACGTACGTATATCCGTTTCCGATTTAAGAAAACGAACATATGTTCAGAAATAATTGGCACAAAAAATTACGTACGAAGACATTTCCTAACAGAATCAGTATTTCAGTTAATAAACTGCAAGTATATACCTGCATGATCATTTCATTTGAAAGATTTCTTAATTAAAACAAATCTGATCATCATCATAATCAATCATAAGGTCGTCAGTCTTAAGACTGGTTGGACACGCACCTCCACTCTTTCCTATTCTGAGCTAATCTTCGCATTTCCCTAAAATTAGAACAACTCACATCCTTAACTATTTGCGAACAATAATATAATCTAGGTCTACCTCTACCCCTCCTAGCTCACGTTTCTACCTCTAATACGTCTCTGACTAGACCTTCATGCTTGAGAAGGTGTACTACCAACCTATCTCGCCTATTTATTATTGACTTCCATAGAGTCCCCTATTCTCCCATTCTTTCTAATACCTCTTCATTTTTAACCTTCTCTATCCACGGTATCCTCATCATTCGGCTGTAACACCACATTTCAAACGCTTCTAACCTTTGCTTTTCCGCCGCGTCCACCATCCATGTACCATTTGCGAGCATGGAAGTGACTTCTTTTTATTGAAGGCAACTCGACCCTGCGTTATCCTCTATTTAATTTTTCGTCTCCTATATTCACTCTTTCCCTACTTACTTTTTTTCTCTTGTATACCAGTATTTTTGTTTTACTTACACCACTCACACTTACACCAGTGTTATGGAGTAGCAGGCAAATTCTTCGACTACATGTTCAATTGATAAAATCCAGCCTCTACATTTGGGAGTATTCAATTAAGATTGAGTTCTCTTAGGAGAAATCGTTCGCTGAAAGAAACATTTCGAGATAGTTAACTTCTCGACTCGACCCTGAGCTATTCTTTGCTTTATATCCCTACCACTCCTTCTGTCCTGACTTATTTGAAATCCTGCATACCTAAAATCAGCCACTTCTACTAATTTTCGTGTCCTATCTTTACATTCGCTTTTTCCCTACTTTTTCTTCCTTTGCATACCAGTATTTTTGTTTTACTTTTATTTATTTTCATACAGTACTGTTTTGTCAAAAAAACCGCTTCCATTTTATTTAAAGTTATCCTCCTTGCTAGATGCTAATACTGCTATATTTCATCATTGTCATTAAAATTCTGACATTTCAGCTAATTTTTCCATGCCGATATTTTTTCTAGGTATATATATATATGTTAAAATGCATTTATTTGTACTATATTTTAAATGAAAATGAACCGGAAATGTAATGAACGCTTTCTTGAGTAATATTTAAATGTTGAACCGAGCGACCCGACGCGACGTGTGAACTCTATCTCTATTCCTCCAGATCGAATCTCTTAGTCTGGGGATGGAAATCTCCCGGAGTGACAGCGGGAATGCTAATTGCTCTTCGGTCTACGTTATTGTTCTACAATGAAGCAATAAAACTGTCACCGGCAACCAAGTTAAAGCACATTCAACGTCAGAGAACTTAGATATACCTATAGGTAATAGGTGCAAAAGAGATTAGGATTAGTGGATTCGCTATCCTCGACAGGCAATTTCAAATTGACGAATTTTGTTGTCAGCTATCACGACTGATTACAATTCTGTAAGCCTCAATATGTTGCAGTATAAAATAACAATTAAATAATTCGAAAATTAGAAATATTGCGAATTAAAGTAATCACTGAATCAATGAATTTATTTGATTCAGTTTGCCATACTGACAGTTTTGAACGTCTCAACTATAGTAAGAATTCTAGCCAGAAGAAGTCGTGACCAATGCGGTCAGCTACCAAAGATCTGGACCTTGGTAGATAATTGTTAACATCAATTAGAAAAATAAGGCTGTCTTTAATGACTACTAATTATAAAAAGAATGCGATTGAAATAACTTTCAGTTTCCTTTTCAGATGATCTAGTTATGGTGGAATACGCAGTGGTCTTGGTGCATTTATTCATGTTCTCGAAAGACGTTCTCTAAATGCCATTCCTAATAGAACTCGATCCACAACTATGTCGCATGTATTTCTAAATAATCAAGAGATATGTAGAAATCAGAACCTGATGAGTATTTTTCTCTAACCTACCTTGAAAAAGACTCACAATAAGAGGCGAAATGTTGGTGTCGATTTTGCACCAAAACGAAACACCTTACAAAATCTTCATCAGCCTCTCATTTGTATATATTTTGAATTAAGAGAGGGTGAAATAGAAAATATAAATGATAAACATAAATTGCTGAATTTTTCACGCATATTAAGCATAAACAGAAATAAAATGTAATGTAAAGGCTAGACTTTGTATACAAAATCTGCAAACATTCCAACAAAAAATAAACAAATCAAAGGGTATTCTCACTTATTTCATAGATGCAGTAATCTCTGGCATGTATTCGTTATACTTACTTCGTCCTAAAACAAAAGAAAAATAAAATTAGTGAAATTATCAAGCTGGCACAAACACAAAACAAAATTAGCTAACAAATTAAAGAAATTGCAAATTAAATCGAGTAAGATGAAAATTTGCGTTAGATCCAAATGATAAACAGTTTTAAACAGCAAAAACGAAATGTTTATCGAGGAGATGTTATCTTCTTTCGTGGCCAGTTGATGAACTGACCCTGTTCTGATTCGGGTCTACAGGCCGTCGTCGGTTGGAACATGGGAAATGGAAAGCTTTCCAGCTAAAGAACGTTAAGCAGCAACTCCAACCGACGACGGTATGTAGTCCCGAATCAGGACAACATCAATTCAATGTCTAAATACTTTAGTTATTAGAAAAAAAAATTATCCCATGCTTCAAAATATTCGTTTTAATAACCTACATCTACAGTATTACACTTATCAATAAAAAATATGTATTACATTATGCACTGGAACCCAAAAATCAAGTTAAAATAAATAGGCGATTTGTCATGTGAGATACCTCATCATTGGTTTCTGATCAAATCTTAAATCACATGATATTAAATCGATGAAAACAATGCGCTATTTGAAACGCCATTGATAATTAGGTTAATTAACAATGGAATCCTAAAGAATAGGCCCGAAGAATGAAGACCCAATTCAATTCACTTACGTGAACTTTCTTCCAATGTGGTTTGAAAATGTTATACAATCGGAACCACGAAATGACTCCACCGACACAACGGTTTATAGCCAATATACAACAATAAGCATCATTCCGGTAAAATACAAACAGTCTCAAAGGAAAAAGTCAAGCCAAAGATTCACCCTTCGACACACCTACATATACATTGCTATGTGATGGAATGCCTATTACGTCCATTTATTTACATTCAATTAATTGTTAATCACACGTCAAACAGAATACCGTTTTTCTTTTATTTTGTATCATTTGATATGGTACATGATCACAAATCGTCCATCAGCTTTTTTACTTTAAAATCGCCCATTTATTATATCTCTGTATTTTTTAAACACACATACAATTTAGACAACTTTTAGAAGTGAGTTGTGGGAGGTTTATGCATGCCACCTTGCGGCTTCGACAGATTGCTGATAGTTGCATTAGCTGTTTTTAGTTTTAGTGGTCAGATTTAGTTTAATATGAAATATTAATCTGAAAATTAATTTTTTGAATTTTTTACCCACTACACGCTACCTCAAATTTTTAGGGAAAAATTGTTGCTGTTGTCACCTCTCGTAGTTTAGTGGTCAAAACATTGGTGCGTAAAGCCAAAGGTACCGGGTTCGATTCCCGGCGGGGGTGTGACAACAGCAACAATTTTTCCCTCATTAATTTGAGGTAGTGTGATTAATATTTCTGTATTTTTTGTCAAATTCACATCTATAAATCTCAGCTAATATGTTTCGAACAGCGTCGACGTTCAACGCACTTTACAAAGTAATAACTCAAGTTTTCAATAACTTTGTTCTTTTTATCGTGTGCCCATTGCGAGGAGTCAATTGTAAAAGCGAAAATTCCAAGCCCGCGTCTCGACATCCCTTTATTAAATCCTACCGGATAGCTTGGGATCGTTTCGGTTGTTATCGGGAACAAACAGCCGTCCTGGTTTGTTCCATGGGGTAATTGAAAACACCCCCGTCGTCGTTACGGCATCCGCAGAGTTGTTTTATCAACTCACTTAAGGGGTGGCAATATTGAAAGTGTCACCGTACTGCTTGTACTACATTCATTTAACGGCTTGCTGCCGTCTCGCCGACGGTGGCAGCAACTTTCGACGTTCGAGTACGGTAAGGGTTGCGCGCTTATTTTTCCGCCCCCGTTGTTGATGCACCCTCTTCTCTTGGCATTAGAAACGCCTTCGAACGGCTATGAATATAATACGTATTTGTCAAGCTCTTTTAATTATTATTGAAACAAACTATTTAGTAGGTGTTCACCTTTACATTAAAAAATGTTGCGCGTTTTAAGGGTAGGTACAAATTATAACCCCCTTCAATGTAAGACAAAAAAACATTATACTTAATTAAATCCTTTGCCTTTATTCAAGTCATTTGAATAACTGACTGCATCCTAAAGCTTCATTTATTGATTCAAGAAGAATAGGTGTTAGAATGAAGAAAATTAAAAAACAATATCTATTAATTGATACATCAATGTTCAACTGCTAAAAGTAAGTAGAAGGTTCAAACTTTTGCACAGAGGTTTCTTGTTTCATCCACTATGGACTTGGTTCTAAATGTACCACCCCTAAAATCGCGAAACAGATATTCTAATCGCTTCCATACACTGTACTTACATTTGGACCTTCAAGGGAATGAAAAATGCGTTCCCTTTTCAAAATGAAACTCCTATAGCGATGTAAAATAGGGTTTTGCGATATAATTAAATTGTACACGGATGAGGAAGACGAAGTCTTCGGCAGCAGCTATAGTGTATAATAAATTCTGTTGTGATAATTTTGTTAGGTATATTAGATGCCTTTCCATTTCGATATACTGTAGTACATCATTAAATAAGCCCCTTGTTTTATTACATAAACGAACTGTTCTGTTTTGACAAGTCCACGTCAGCCGGGAGTCTGTACAAATAAATCGAAATTCGTAAAAAAAACCGTTTCAAGACAAATTTATCGGGTAGTTGTTGTTGAGATTGCGATTCTGAAAGCGAAACGAGACGTTTGCATATTTTGGTAGCTCGACATCGCAGTTGGCGCATTAACAAGCCCGATAATTCTTCTTTAATATGACTTTTAATTATCTTAGTGAGCGCAGATGCCAAATAAATTGAGTAAAGCACATATTAAACCCGTAACATCCCTATGATCTTTTCTGGACTGTAATACAGCCTGACAGCTTGCTGGGTGGCCGCCTCGTAAACATAGTCTCCCGCTTTATCGACCTCAAACAAACCGAAAAACTACATTCTTCTAACTACCGAAAACATCTTCAACAAAATTATCTTCTATCTCTAACAATTTACAACAATACCTTCCAAACGTTTTCTTGAATTCAACATGACGTTTTATCACATTTTCATTCGCAAAAAACGTTCTTTTATCTTCACCATATTTTAACTTACATCCCTCATCATCATCATCATCATCATCATAAGTTCGTCAGTCCTAAAACTGGTTAGACACGTACCTCCACGCTTTCATATCCTGAGCTAATCTTCGCATTTCCCTAAAACTAGAATAACCCACATTCTTTACTATTTGCGAACAGTTATCTAACCTAGGTCTACCTCTACCCCTCCTAACTCCTGTGTCTGCCTCTAATATATATCTGACTAGACCTACATAACTGAGAAGGTGACCTACCAGCCTATCTCGCCTATTTTTTATTGACCTCGGTTCTCCTATTCTTTCTAATACCTCTTCATTTCTAACCTTTTCTACCCACGTTATCCTCATCATTCGCCTATAACACCACATTTCGAAGGCTTATAACCTTTTCTTTTCCGCTACGCTCACTGTCCATGTTTCGCACCCGTACAACGCTGTGCTCCAAACATACACCTTTAACAACCTTTTTCGAATTTCTAAATTAACCGTTCGCGAGCATAGAAGTGACTTCTTTTTATTAAAGGCCACACGACCCTGCGCTATCCTCTGCTTTATATCCCTACTACTCCTTCCGTCTTGACTTCCTAGATATCTAAAATCAGCCACTTCTCATTTTTCGTCTCCTATATTCATATTCGTTCTTTCCCTACTTTTTCTTCTCTTGCATACTAGTATTTTAGTTTTACTTTTATTTATTTTCATACAGTACTGATCGTTTAGTACCGCTTCCATTTTATATAAAGCTATGTTTGATAGATGCTAATACTGCTATATCATGTGCAAATTTAAGCGTACAAATACAAAAAAAAACAACCACCAAAAAGGAATAATGTAGTATTGAGAACCCTATTAATAACCCATAGACCCGCTGACAAATTATCTCATACGTAAAATCCTACTTTAAATGACTTTTAGAGTTAACTATTAAATAAATTAAAAAAAAAATTGTTTATTATTAATATGGGACGTACCTGCTGTCAACAACTATTAATTAGTTGAAAGAATATATTCTAGCTTTATAATTATAATAAAATGCGGAATTTAATTAAAACGTACCAAAACCATTTTAAATGTAAAAGAAATTGTTGACTCCACGACCGCAGGACAAAAATATGCCATATGAACCGTAGTCCTTGAGCATAGGTACTTATGAATATAATCAACGTTTGATTAATGTATCTGTGTAGTGTACATGATGTTAATGTAACGTTACATACGTAATATTTAGGTATGTATATTATGTGTATCTATGATACATTTTGTATGTATCAATTAATGTTTAATCATGGACCATGAAATGGTTCGCCTTTTTAGCGACGAGAGAGAAACGATTATAATCGCATTAAGGCTGCGTAAAAACTTAATTGAGTTAAGTATAGGTAGAGGTGGTGCTGGGTGGTGGTAGAGAGCGGGCAGCTATTTTTGAAAATGGTATTTCATGAAATGACCGTCAGAAATTAATGTTTTGTTAGCCTCCGTTGCCAATTAAAACGACTAATAGACCTTGCCGAGCAGTTTACGATGATTTAACGGACTTTCTTTGAAACATGCACTCTCTAATCGCCTCTCTGATTAACCGCTTTCATGCAAATTAGCTCCACTGTGTCTACGTTTATGTTTTTAGGGCGCGGAAACATTGTCCTCATGCTTTTATCTAGTCTACAACGCTGTCTATTTAACTGGAACTCCCAAGCGGTCGGGTACCTTTAATAATGTATTTTAATACCAATTTATTGCCATGAATGATGATGACCCTTGATCAGAAGATTGAGTAATGTATGAGAGGGTGTTAGATTTTTACTTAATTTAGTTTTCTCATTTTTTAGAACGGCATTCCTATAAGTAATTATTATTCTCCTTCTTTCTTCCGAATCTAGTGCCTTTTTAGGGTTCCGTACGTCCGAATGAAAAGCGGAA